TAAGTAGATGGACTTAAGAGCTGGAGAGGAATGACACGGAAACCACGCGTGCTAGTGACAGCTGGGACAGTCATCGGGGAGGGAGGGAGCTTGGCTTCTGGGGGTTAGTGCAATCCCTGGACCTGGAAGGTGTTCCTGGGACCTGCTTCTGGGCTCCTGGAGGCACCTCAGTCCCCTCCACCTGGCTGTGGCAGGAGCAGTGTTAACCCAGCTAGAAAGCGCCTGGCATGCACCTCTCCCCTGCCAGTCCACACGGGCAGCCTCTGGGCCAGCGGGGTAGGCGGCACCCAGCACAGGCAACTGCGTGATGGTGAGATGTCAACTCCTGTCGATGAGGCTGCCCCCGACTGGCCAGGAGGGGGGCGAGGCCTTGGGGAGAGGCTCAGCGCTTCCCACGTTGCAGGAGCAAATGAGGCGGAGCAAGGCCTGCTGGGAGCCAGGGTCTGGGGAGCATCCTGAGGGGCCCCCTCCCTGGCCGGGGAGACACCCTGCGCTCAGAGGGTCTGCACTCACTTTTCACCTCATTTGGAGGAATGTGACTTTTTTGTGTCCATTTATTTTGCCCTGGAGGCCCTTGAATTTTTTTCTACCTGCCTCTTGTTAGATTTTGGGTGTGACGTGGGTTGGCACATCAGGAATAAGAGTAGTTAATGGGCATGCACCTGTGGGCGCCCGCTCTTTACAGTCTTCCAGATTTGAGGACCATGGAGAAAGCTTCGCCTCGGCACCATCTTGGAGGCACCAGAGTGAGGGGGGTCAGGCTGGGCTGGAGGGTCAGGCTCAGCAGAGCCAGCAGGGCTGCCAGGGACTGGAGAGATTTCCTATTTCTCAATCAGTTGTTCTGGTTCTGCAAAAGCAAAAGCGGTTCACACTCAATGGAGGAGGAAGGGAAGGTCAACGATTTGGGGTTGGCTGGAGGCAGGAGGCTGGAGCCACTGAGCACCCATGCCAGTGGCCATCTCTGTGCATTCCCGAGGACACTGCTCACCTGAGTGTCTGGACTCCAGGCGGGTGTGAAGCAACAGTCTGAGGCCTGAAGGGGACACACCCCTGGTTCCATTTCATTTCAGAATCTAAGCATCAGACATCCATATTCTGTTACGTAGTGATTAAAAGTCACAAAGGCAAACTGCAGAGAGCCCTCAGAAGAGTGATATCAGGGCCACGAATGCCAGCTGACGGGGGCCTGCTACCTTCCTGCACCGTGTAGGGCTTTCCCGGGTCCCTCCCTTCTACCTTGCCTCTGAGATGTAGCACTGTCTCCCACTTCCCGGGGGAGAATCCGGAGCCAGGGCAGGGCAGAAGGGATCTCTCCTGCCCTTGGCTGTTTTCAGAGGAGCTGGGAGTGCAATGGGGCCTCAGGGCAGGCATGTGATGTTCACCCAGGAAGTGCTGCACCGGCCTCCTGGGCTGGGCGTGTGCCCTGTGCCCCCATCGATGACCTCTGTAAGAGCTGGGCAACCTGGAATAGCTGATGAAGAAGGCCACAGGTCTGCCATTTTGTGGCATCAATTAAAAAACCAAACTCCAAGTGTCAGTGGTCCTGGGTGCGGCAGGGCCAGCTACATTCTCCAGCTCCGCCTGCATCCCTTCCTGGTGTGGCCGAGGGTTCCTCCAGCCTGCAAGCTCACAGCCCCACCCACTCCAGTAAGGCTGGACTTGCAAAGGGTTTCATACCATGGACAGGCCTCTTCAGTCTCTGGCTCAGATGCTGGTCTTCCATCTGCCTGGAGCCCGTCGCTCCTCCCCTTGTGTGAATGGGAAGTGTCCTGTAGAGGCAGTTACAACGCCACTGCTTCTGGGCTTTCTGACAGCCAGGGCCCTTTGCTCCTCTGGCTCTGTTGAGGGTCACTGGTGACCCTCTTTGCTCTCTGGTGACCTCAACTTGTCCCTGCCCACATGTCCACTTCTACCTGGCCCCAAACCTAACCACCTCCCTACCTCCTGGGCACCTCAGCTTGGTGCCCATAGGCCTCTGAAATTGCCCCTCTGTGGGCTCTTGCTTCCCCTGGTCTCCCTTCCAAACAATGGTCCTGCCCTTGCCAGGTGCTCAGGCAAGGCCTGAAGAGCATCCTTAGTCCCCCTGGGTCCTTGGCCCTGTGTATCCACCAATCAGCAAAGCTGGCTCTCTGCATCACTCCTCCCGGCCTGCTCTGACTTCCACCAATCAGCAAGGCTGGCCCTCCCGCACCACTCCTCCGCATGCTGACCTGCTCTGACACACACCAATCAGCAAGGCTGGCTCTCCCGCACCACTCCCCACCCCCATACTCTGATTTCTAGCCCCGCCTGGCTCTCCCGCCTCAGCGTTTTTCACCGGGTATGGCACAGGGCACCAGGGGGAGCGATGAGAACAACAGTCCTGAGCCTCAGCCCCTCAGCCCCCAGCCCACCCAGCGGAGTCCCGAGGCCCCCCTGGGCCCACCTGCCCCCAAACAGAACAAGGCTGGGTTGCCTTCGTGTTTGCTTCTCCCTCTGCCTAGAACCTTCCTTCCCTGGCTTTGTAGATGACTTCACATGCTGGGCATGGTGGCACACACCTGCAACCCAGGGACAGTGACCAGGAGACGGAAGTAGAGGGGCCACAAGTTTGAGGCCAACCTTGGCAACGTTGGGAGACCATCTCAAAATAAAATTCTAGCCTTGCACAGTGGTGCACATCTGTAATCCCAGCGACTCTGGAGGCTGAGGCAGGAGGATCTCGAATCCAAAACCAGCCTCAGCAACTTAGGCCCTGAGCAACTCAGCCAGACCCTGTCTCAAAATAAAACATGAAAAAAGGGCTGGCGTGTAGCTCAGTGGAGGAGAGCCTCTGGGTTCAACCCCCAATACCACAATCAATAGATAACTCAGGGGCTTTTGTGCTGCCAGTTCTGCCTGGAGCTGCCCCTGCCAGCCTGCTTTGCTCTGTTTTCTCTTGAATTGCTAATTGAAGCTGCAATTCTCCTGTATCACTTAACTTTAACCCTATTTTGTATTGTCACCCCTCCTCTGTGAAGAAGGCTCTGGGGAGCCACGCCCGGCCTCCATCACTGCTATAGCCTGCAGATGTGTGCTGCAGATGGGCAGCTGTAGTGGACAGGCTGCCCTGTCTGTTGGGGACCCATGCTGTGCCCTTGTTCCCAGTGCTCACTGGATGCTTATTAAACACAGCAGTGGGCGTGATACAGCACGGTCCACTCCCCACTCACTGGCCTTTCCAGAGAACCCTGACCAGGGCTCTGGAAGTCAGCTTTCTGTCCACACCACCCTTGGCTTTATGAATTAATGTGCTTTCTTAAAGCCAATTACCAAGATGGCTTTTAAGTTTAAAGAGCACTTTAGGTCTCTGAAGCCTAGTAAAGCTCTTTCAAGTCACATGAAAAAGGTCCACACTTCTGAGGGGACACCTGGCCAGTTGCAGGCTTGGGTTAAAAGGAGGAGGAGGGAATTTGAGGGGCTGGGCCACCCGTCAAGGTGGGGAGGGGCAAGTCCAGGCAGCGGCTCAGACCTGGGCAACCGGGTCACAGGGCCTCTTCAGGGTTGGATGTGTGGACAGCAAGCAAGTCCAGAGGGCAGAGACCAGTCCAGTTTTTATTTTTTTTTTAATCTGCAGCAAAATACACATCATGTAAAATTTACCATCTTGTCCCCCTTTTGGTGGGTAGTTAAGTATATTCACAGGGTGCTGAAAGTATGTCTAGAACTTCATTTTCAAACTGAACTCTGTCCTCAATATACTAATTCCCCATCTCCCCCTCCCTCCCACTCCTGCTACTACCATTCTCTATAATTTGAATTGAATGTACCACCTCATGTCCTCAGGGCTGTCTTGCAAGACCCAGTGGATGCCCACAACCTCGACTACCAACCTTACGTATATTGTGTTTCTTTGGATACATACATACCTATGATAAACTTTCATCTTTTTTACCTAAAGGAGGTACTGGTACTATTGATTCTCTGCGGCATACCTAAATTGCTGTATCAGGACTCCTGCACTTTGGGGTCATTACTAAGCAGGATAAGGGTCACTTGAACACAGCATTATGATACTGCCACTCAACCTGATAACTGAGACAGCTGCTAAGTGTTTACCAAGTGGGTAGGGTATGCACCATGGATGCTCGGGTGAAAGGGATGATTCACGTCCTGGATGGCTTGAGTTGGGCAGCCTGCCATGCTGTGCAGAAGAGGTGGACACAATGTAAAACATGAATTGTGCATTTCTGGGGTTTTTCGTTTCATATTTGTGGCCTGTAGTTGACTGTAGGTAACTGAGGTTGTAGGAAGTGAAACTGCAGATAAGGGGACTGCAGTAGGTACCTTAAAGGTGGAATCACACGAGATGTGACCTTCAGTGGCTGGCTGGCTGGTATCACTGAGCTGGTCCTCAGGGCTCATTTCCGTGGTCCTGTCTGTCCGGATCTCCTCCTCACTAGGGTTGTTGTCGGGTGGACTGCCTTTTGTCTACCCACTCACCTGTCTCTGGACACTTGCTCAGGGCTGGAGGGCCGCAGCTTCACAGAGAGGCAGCTCTGGGGGGGCACAATTTAGAACTGGTGGCTTCCGCGCCACAGAAATGAGGTGCCGCTGAGCCTCTCCACTGAGGGGACGCCTGTGTTGACGCACAGCCATGGTGCTGCCGTCGCTGGAGGACAGAAGTGACACCAGGGACTCTGGGGGGTCTCGTCCCCTTCAGCGAGTCCCAGTGGGAGTCTGGTATTCTCACACACCAGCTGTGTCGTGCTGAATGGCCACTCCCTCACCCACTGAGGGGCTGACAGTGACCGCCCTGCCCGACTCCGAGCTGGTGAGAGAATGGGCACTCGGATCTTAGGTGCTTTCATTTCAAGTTTTCATAGAGAGACGCCAGGAAAGACTGAGGAGCTGAATGGCGGCCGATGGAAGGAAATTCTGAGCAACAGCTGCTGATGGATCTTGTCCCGACTGCCCTGGTACTTCCTGTACCCCCCTCCCACCTGATCTATCCTTCTCCTCAGTATCGGCTGAGAGGAGGAAAAAGGCGAGATGTGTTTATTAGAATCACCTGTGACTACAACTGAACGCAGCATAAAAAGATCAGAAGATGGCCTCTCACAGTCAGGAAGCCCGGAAGCACCCCATCCACGGTGACACACCCCTGCATCAGGGACTAGGCTCCTTTTCAGCCGTGTTTTGCCATGCTTGACTTCCGTTGCCAAGGCTACTTCATGTTCCAAAAGAGCTGCAGAGCACCAGTCATTCGGTTCCTGTCCTAGCCAGTAAAGAGGAAGGAAGAACAAGAAAATTAGCGCTTCTTCCCTTTAGGAACTCCTGGAAAGTGCGAAGGCCAACTCTGCTTTCATCCTGTCCTGAACTTGGACGTGGCCACAATGGGCTGCATGAGAAATGAACTTGGTGCCCTGTGGAATGCTAAAACTCCTGTCTTTCCTACTGAGGGGGACAGGAAGAAGGGACATTAGAGACCAGTCGCTCAGAGAGACAGGAGGAATTGCATCTAAAAATGGTAAAAATGACTCAAGAAGCTGTTGCTTCAAATTCTCTTTGTAAATAGGGTAGCAATAACAAGGAGAGCCGTGAACTTTGACCCTTAAGAACTAGCAGGTCACTGGCAACTCACGCACCAGGAAGTAATCCCAGGCAGGGAGTGGGGGATGGTCCTGGCTCCAGTCTTGGAGTCTCTCTGCAGGCGACTGTGAGCCCCCGGTGATGTGCAGGCAGGAGTCGAGTTCTCACCCACTGGCCAGTGCCATCCCTCCAGAAGAAGGTCTCCTGCAAGTGTGTTCTGCAGCAGGGTGACCTTCCAGCTCCACCTGTGGACATCAGCCCCAGCATGCTGCTGTCCCAGCTGAATCCTTAGTCACAGCGCTTCTGCTCTTCAGCGAGTCCATTGTAACAAGTGCCTCGAAGCCTGCTGAAAGTGTAGATCGCCATGTCCTCTTCTAGCAGTAGCAATCAACGCCTCTGGCCGGGCCTGAAGGCTGCCTGGGAGGGGCAGGTGACAAAGGGGAGCCTGGCAGAGCAGGGCTGGCAGGCCGATCCCCACATAGGGGCCTCGCTGCCAGACTCAGTGTCCTCCCTTGAGGGTGCGCTGGCCATGCAGCCCCCATCAGGGATGCCGTGAGAAGTGAATGGGTGACGGCTGTGAAAGCGCTCTGACGTGGCGAGGCCGTTCCTGCGCTGGCATGAGATAGAGCAACAGCAGGACATTCCTACGTTGTCCTGCCGTAGAGCATCAGCACGAGGCGACAGCACGCCCATCACCCTGCCTTACTGTGGCTCCATGTGCATGAGATCAAAGCATCACCCACTTTCCAAAGGTGGACAAGCGTGTGTGTCAATCAACATGTTAGTAAAAAGGCAGTTCGGGCGAGAGCGCGTTTTCTGTGACTGTCATTCGGGTGCCTCTGACTGGATCTGTGCTTTGTCAACTTAGGTTTTCTCTGGGATCTGGTGGTTTACTCCCAGGACCAAGCAGGCTGCCCAGGCGTGCAGCAGGGCTGTGTGGTTGTGCTGCCGGCTCTTCTCCCATGGGTACGAGGCTGAGCAGCCAGTGAAGACAGGGGCCCATTTCTGGGCCGGGCCGATGACAGGCTGCGAGGTCACCAGGGCTCACCAGATCTCTGGCCTTCCTGGCCTTGTTAATGTTTGGGGCATTCCTTCTGATGACCGCAGCTCAGCACCACCTGGAGTCCACCCTGACGGGCTTGCTCATCACAGGGCCCCAGCGGAGCAGCTGTTTTGTAAACTTGGTTTGGGGCTGGGTCCCCGGCCAGAAACCTGCTCTGCCAGCCTGCCGAGCTGCCCTCCTGCCAACCTGCCGGTTCTCAGTCATAGCAAGTACATCCTTGTAATTGGCTGGCGACTCAGATCCCAGGCACAGTGACATCCTTGCGGGAGCTTCTGCCCCGGTGCAGTGGCAGTGGGTCTGCCCCAGGCAGGGGGAAGAAGCCCCAGGAGGAAGAAGGAAGGAAGCATTTCTCCTTTTCCTTTGGTGAGGAGCCAGGGACACATGGGGTTGGCTGGCGAAAAGGTTCTAGGAGGAAATACCTGTTAGAGCCCAGCAAGGTCCTGCTGGCAACGTCCCAGACAGCACTCTGGGTCTCACACTGGGTTATTTGTGTGAGGCTGATCTCTTTGCACCGGACTGGACCCATTTCAGAACCTGCGGCAATTCAGGCCCAGTTGTCTGATGTGAGATCTATCAAGGAAATAAGCCAATCATCTCAACTGATGTGTTTCAATTCCTCTAAGGCCCATTCTGTTTAATTCCCAGTACTGCAATAAATAAATCCATAAATACATTTAAGAAGAACATTTCTATTGATTGAAAGTGAGATGTTTTAACTGATACAGGTGTTGGATACCGTGTGGCAAGACGTGAGACCCGTGGGCAGGGCCTGAGTCTGAGCTGGGCCATCCCCGAGCCCCAAGCAGCTTACTCACCTGTCGGGTGGGAGGAGCAGTTGCTTCCAATCAGGTGTTGAGGCCTGAACCTCATAAAAGGGCTCTGTGTGGATTCTCTGGGGAGACCCTCCTCCAGGGTTCTTGGTGCAGACCTGGCAGGCTGCCGCTCATCTCTGCACTTGTGACACAAATTAAAACTGGAGAGAAGCAAACAGGCCTTCAGCAAGAAGCACTTGGATGATGTGTTGCCCGGGGTCACTGAGTCGACCAGGGACGCGGACAGTGGGCAGGCACTGGCACAGAGCAAACCTGGAGCCAGCCCACCACCTTCCCCTCCCTGCGCTCTGCCATGGCCCGCGGGGAGCGCCGGCTACCTGAGCTTCTTTTGCCGTGGTAACAAACCACCCTGATTTCAAGGTCTCCAACAGCATCCTCAGTTACAGCTCTGCACTTCCCAAGCCCAGTATGGGCCAAGTGTCCGTGGAGCTAGTCCCTCTGGGGGCCCACAGTTTTCTCTACTTTTCCAGCTTCAAGGCAACTCCACTTCTGGCTTTATCTGGATCCCCAGGGATGGTCTCCTGTCTTGTGGTCAGCCCATCGCAGCTGAACCCCACCTCTCTCACAGGTCCATCCCTGACTCTGCCCGAGTCCTCACTGCCTCCCTTCTGCTCGTAGAGGGTATTCTTGTGTTTTCACGGAAGATTCAGGCACACTTCCACGTCAGGAAAGTCCCCCTGTGGCATGATTTGTAATGACTACGTGGTGTGACCTTGGGCGACCTTCAGAGCTTCTCCCAACCTCTGTGTGTAAGTAAGCAGACTCCATGATCATGTCTACTTTCCCCGTTAGGAAGCCAAAACCTGAGACAGGGAGAGGGCCACCGAGTGGGGTTCTGCCTTGTGCTGATCCACACACCCTCCAGGACCTCAGGCATAGCGCTGACACCGTCTGACACCGTGGGGACAGCCCCTGAGATGGGGTGCTAAGTGGGGAGAGTGGGCTTTCAACCGGGACTTGGGTGGACCTTGGCCAAATTCCTCATCTAAACAGGGAAGTGTCAGTGCTGGGTTTCCCTAGAAAAGGACAAGTGGCCCCACACAGGGAGCTTCTCGTGGCGCCAACCCAGGCAGCCGCCTGGCCCTGGACACACTCACGGGCTCCTCCTGTGTGGGAGGCCCCAGTACCAGCCTGGCAGAGGCCATGGCTCGGCTGTGTGGCCAGCCCAGACTCAGCCCTCCCTCTGTGGTCCCTGTCATGCGCCAGCCCTACCTGCAAGCCTCCCCAACCCTGCTCCTGGGCCCGGGGTGGGCGTGTGCGTAGGAAGCCCTGTGCCGCCTGGGTCCTCGGGTAGTTCAACCAGAACCCTGAGGCCCCTCTTGGTGGGTTCCCACGGGCCGACCCCACCCTGTTCCTCGGCGGTAAGCCCCCATTTGCCCATGCTGTGCTGGGACTTGGGACCGTCCTTTCCCACTACAAGGCCCCGCTGCAGTGGTCCTGTCCTGTCTTTGCTCCTGAATGGAGCCTTCCGCACTGTGTTTTAGTGAGCACTATGAATGATCCTTTTTTTGTAACAGGTGGTCTCTTCTCTCCTCTTTTCCTGAGACAAGGCTCCCATGGCTATTCTGACTGAGCCTTCCTCCGCTAGTGCTGCTGTCTGTCCCTTACTCAGGCCCAAGTCCCCTGCACACATCCTCCCCCACCCCGAGACCTCTCTGGAACCCCCAGGCTCACCCATGCTCCCGAGCCCACGGGGGCTGCTAAATGGCAGGTTGAAATCATCCCCTGGCTGCTCCAGGCTTGCTGTGCAGCACCCTCTCCAGGAGCACAGCGTGCAGGCAGCATCCCTGGTTCCAAGGGGGTGGCAGCCATGACTGTGCCCTGGGGGGTGCTCCCTTTCTGCACTCTGCAGCTATTTCAGTGACCTCTTACCATAGTATGCATTGGTTCCTTTTAATGAATGACGAAGTTCCAGCACGTGATCTGTAATAACTAAACTACCAGCTCTGGTTAGGAGTGTCTCAGGCTTTGAAGCCTGCCAATTAAAGTCTTGATAATGACCTGCAGGTCAGAGTCCAGCCCATCAGCAGATGGGGATGGCACCCCATGGGCAGAGGTGGGATCTCTGCTGCCAAACCTGCCCGCTCCCTGCAAGCCTCAGTCTCCCCCTCTGCAATGCCCTCCTCTCCTTTGTCAGGCCCTGGTGAGGCTTCTGTCAGTCATCTTGCCAACAATGGCCATGCATGTCCCATGAGACAGTCTGCATCTACTGAAAGCAGACATCAAGACAGGGTGAAAGATGACGGAACTTACCCCAGAACGCCTGTGGACAGGAGGCCAGAGCTGGAGAAGGCCGGGGAGCGTGAAGGGGGCGGGGGGGCTGTGGCAGGGAGGTGCAGGAGCTGGGTCAGACCTGGTTGGGCCTTCCGGACCTGTGGTAGCTGTTAAGCTCTGATTACGACACTGGTCACGATCCTCACCACAAGAACTGACCCAGTCGCTGCAGGAGGGCTCTTTAATTGCTATAGTAGGTGCCGTTCCATCCCCGGCTGCTGGGGGTGAGGGTCTTCCCTCACCTCCAGAACTGGGCCTGCCTTGCTGTCCCCCCAGAGGCTGGCTGGGGCAGACCCTGGGGAACCAGGCCTGTTGGGACAAAGAGGTGACTCCAAAACACAGTGGCCCACAGGTCAGGCTTCTGCAGCTGGAGGTGGTGAGGCTCAGTTTTGTGAGTCAGGCTTTGAATGAAACCCAGATTTCTCCCCCTGGTGCCATCCACAGCAGGGCTGGCCCTGGCCCTGTCTCCACACAGTCCTGGCACGCCTCACGCTAAGACTTCCTGCTGCCCATGCTGGGACGCTCTGGCTGCTCCTTCTCCCTGGGGCTCACCTTTGCCTAAGAGGAGCTGATTCCGCCACTCCCACAGCCCCGGAGGACAGACCTGCATGGAGAAGTGCCCTCTGGGCCCCAGGGCAGAGGCACAGCCTGCTGGTGTTGGGCAGCAGGAGGCCTGAGGGGCCCTTAGAGTCTGAGCAGACCCCTGGCCTGGCCCCATGTGTCTCTCTCCACTTCTCTTTTGATCTCTGTGTCTCTGACAACCTGAAGCCACCCTGCCTTCAGTGATGTCCAGGTGCTTCCAGGCCTGCCCACGTGTCCCCTGGATCAGACAGCGGCTCTGCTGAGCCTGGATCCCAGCAGCCTCTGGGCCAGTGGCTGTCATGGCCCCTAGCCTCAAGGACTGCAGAGCCCCTCCCCAGGATGCCCTCTGTGGGAGCAGCCCTGCTCCTGAAATCCAGCCCCTTCCTCCTGCCCTGTTGCCTGACCTCCTGCTGTGCTGGTGCATGGTGGGGAGACCTCGGGATCCCCCACGGCCACTGAGTGGATGAGTGCATCCACGGGCTGTTGGGTGGGATCTTCAGTGAAGTGGCTTCTGGTGGAGGTGTGTGTGTGTGTGTGTGTGTGTGAGAGAGAGAGAGAGAGAGAGAGAACAAGCCAGGGAGAACACTGCACCACAGAGAGAGCGAGCACTCCATGCTGCTAATAATCGACTCCTTCTCAGCGCTTAGAGAGAAGGACCCCAATGTCCGGGAAGGCAATCTCCCAGGGTAACTCCAGGCACTTAAGCGGGGTTGAGAGGAAGCTTCACTCCAAGACCCACTCCTCCCTCCGCTTCTCCCCAGGCCTCAGCTACAGGCCGGTCTCCATCCTGGGCTGCCCCTGCCTAGCCAGGTGGTGGCCAGCTGCCCAGCAGAGCCGGGTCTCATCCCCAGGTGCGCTGTGGCCCGGGGCCCTGGGACACTGCCCTTTTTTGCCTCCTGCTGCTAAGCCCTGTAGCCTGTTGCTCCTCCCCTGAGCCAGGTCAAGATTGGTTTTGAACCTATAAATATTGGCTGGTCCTTGGGTTTCAGAAATTTGAAAGAAAGAAAAGGAAGAAAGGAAGGAAGGAAGGAAGGGAGAATACTTAACATTTAACTATTATTTTTTCCAGGGCTGGGGATGGGTCACTGATGTACCACTGAGCCACATCCCCAGCCCTGTTGTATTTTATGTAGAGACAGGGTCTCACTGAGTTGCTTAGCGCCTCGCTGTTGCTGAGGCTGGCTTTGAACTCACGATCCTCCTGCCTCAGCCTCCGGATCCACTGGGATTACAGCACTTGGATAATACTATTCCTTTTAAAAAGTGTATAACCAAATCCAGGTGGGCCACAGGGCCTGCTGGCACCTTGTTTGCTGCTCCCAAGCAGAAGGGCGTTATCTTTCTGAATCCAGGCAGAAGAGGGAGGAGACTAATGAGACATCGCAGAACCTTCTTGATAAATAGATTGTCAGAGCACAATGACACCAAATGGGAAGGGACCCTGTAGAACAGACCCAGGGTGCCCCCCGTCCCCTCCACTTGCGCTCTGCACCCCCCCACCAAGAGCCGCCGTCCAGAGCTGGAGCAGGGTCTCCTCCAGCGTCTTCTGGGTGATGTTTATTCATGGCCACGCTTCATTCCTTCCAGGCTCATTTCTGCAAACCCTTTCAGGGTCGTTAAGGAACATGGAGAAGGCGGTGAGGCCCTGAGCTTTGATCCTGCTGCTTAACTGCTTTCACTAATCACACCAAGATCGAGAGGTTAAAAACAGCCCCCAGGGCCAGGTGAGCAGACCCCTTGATGCGGGTGTTGGAGGGCAGCAAGGACGGGGCTCTAACAGACTCCTGGCGGCAACCTGAAATCATCTAATTAAATAAACCAACCTTAACCGCGGGAGCTGGGCAAACGTCTCCACACAGGGAGCAGGAAGGCCCTGCCAAAGCTGACAAGCCGCTTCCCTAGGCACCTGGCCAGCAAAGCGACGAATCTCTCCTTTCTCCTCTCTCTTCCCTGGCCTCCCTCCCTGCTCTCTGTCCCTGTCTCTATCACCCCTCTGGGTCTCTTTCTGTCCCCTCCCGTTCCAGTGTCATTTCTTGAAAACAAACAAAAAATCTTTTGATTGACAAGTTTACGTTTTTGCCATCCCTTCTCATTGGGGAACATTCTGGTAGCCAATCCGTCTTCTTTACAACCTGACTTGAGACTCACCCCTGCAGGGCCAGGTGTAAGCTTGGCCTGTGGTCTGCACTACACTGCCCTGTCCCCAAAGGCCCTTGCTCAGCCTGGCCACCTGCCTCAAGAGCAGGCCCTGCCCAGTGTTCCCTGTTCTGATGGTGCCCTGGGCGGCTCTGGTCAGTCCACAACGGAGCTGTGAAGCTCACAACTCTGTCCAGAGCCCTTGCAGGGAGGGCCTTCCAGAGCTGAGCTCCTTCCTGAACTCCCAGGACTCCCGTGTCCCCAGGGCCCAGCACTGGCTCCTGGGAGCTGAGGTGGAGGGTGCAGTGAACTCCAGGGGCAAGGTGCGGGCGGGCGGCGCTGGGGAAGAGCAGCACGGCCCCAGGGACAGTGCGTGTTCTGGATGACGCCATTCGAGGTCTGTTTTTAGTTCTGCTGTGGTGGGGATGGTGCTGGTCTGTGACCTCGCGGGTTTATTCTGCTGTTTTTGATGGATTCTACAAAACAACATTTCCCAAACAGCTTTAGGTTCAACCGTTGAGTTCGACAAGCCTTGACTAAGTACTGGCCACGGGAGTTGAGATGGGAGCGAGGTGACAACAAGTGGGTGACGATGCCTCCAGGGTGCTTCCGGCACGGTGGGGACACAGACCAGCTGCTCCACAAAGACCCACCTGTTACCAGTGTCTGTCACAGCTTCTTGAGACACAGACTAACTGTGCTTTGAACAACAACACCATCACACCGAAACAAAATACCAAACCCACAAACCAACCCCACCACAACAGACAAACCCAATGCTTTGAACTCAGAACCGCTAGCCAGGCCCTTAACCCAGAGGAGAAAAACCCAAATCAGTCTTGAACTTGACTCGTGCCACCCATGAGTGGCAGCAGTCCTGCGTCACCTCAGGGTGTCTGAGCCTCCTCGGGGGAGTGAGGAGAGCATTCTGTGCTGTTGGGAGCCAGGCTTCTCGCTGCGGGGAAGGCGGAGACCTGTCCGCCTTCCCACACAGGACAGCATTCTCTTGTTTATGATGTCGCTCTACAGTGTCCGTCTCCCCTGCACAGGGATCTCTGACTACCTGGTTCACAGTGCGGGCAGGGGCTGGCAGGCGTGTGAACACGTGTACTGATACGGGGTGACAGTGGACGCGTGGCTCAGGGCCAGGACATGGAGAGGACCTGACGCCAAGACTGGAAGCCTTGGGACTGCAGCCTGCAGGAGGACAAGCTTCGCTCGGTCAAGGCTGACCTGGGTCTGGCCTCTGGGCCTGGGTAGGGGCTGTGACGGGAGGTTACAAGTGTCAGGAGCCCAGCTCACAGTCTTCTAGGGGACAAGGAGGAGCTGTCGGGGCCTCTTCAGTTCTGGGTGTGGTGCTCACTGGCAGCTGGGATGGGGCTAGATGGAGGTCACAGATGCCACCTCTAGTGGCCTTGCAAAGCCACATCACCAGACCTGCTGGATTCAAGGCTGGACTGGCTCCTGACAGAGGAGCTGCTCTGTCCTTGTTTTGCAATGGGCAGGACTGGGAGGCCTGAGCCACTCTTGCCACCTCCTCCCTGGGCAGCACAGCAGGGGTCTGGGCGGTGGTCATGGCTCCCCCAGGCTGGCCCTCTCCTCTCTCCAGGGCCTCCTCCTCCTCAGCCTCCCTCAGGAAGGAACCTACCTGGCTTCCAGAACTGGTCTGGCAGCTATTTCCAGGCCTAGGGCTGCCTCACAGGTGGTGTGACGCGGAAGTGGGGTGATTCTAAGTTCCCTGCACAAGCCCTGCCCACCTCCAGAGACGCCCCCTCCCTTAGCAGGTCAGCAGCACCCTGCATGCTCCACCCAGCCCTCAAGCCACCGCTGTCTGAGCAGACTGCAGCTTCCTCATTCCCAGGAGCTGAGGAGCCAGGCCCTGGGGCCTCTGGGCTGTGTGGGCCAGCTCTGAGGGCAGCAGCTCCTGCGGGCGGACAGACATGGACCGGCAGGCACCAGGGGAGGCGGGGGAGGGCCTGGGGCCTCAGCTCGGCTCCCGCTCAGCTCACAGCTGGGTCACGAGCACTGCTGGCCCGGTCCGTGGCCTCTCCGCAAAGGGAGGTTCAGCCCAGTCACCTGTTGGGGTGGTGAGCAGCAGAAGGCCAGATCCGGAGAAGAGGCGGGTGTGGGAGGGGCGGGGCAGGCACGATGGCCCTGTCCTCCACAGCAGAGGAACTGGGGCCTGGCTCGCACACCCCACTGTCCCAAACACTTACCTTTACCCCGCCCCTGTGCTCAGCTGAGGGCTCTGCCCGGAGTCCCCCTGGAGTGCCTTGGAGGTCTGGCTCTGAGGAGGCTGGGCAGCCCAGGCACATTCGGAGAAAGCCCTGCTGCCCATCTGTGATGCAGGGGCCCTGAGGACACGTGGCCTCAGGTGGATGACAGGAGGAAGGTGACTTGTTAATGGAAAAGTGAATGTTCACATGCGTTACTTAGAGAGCGTGGAAGGAAGCGAACCCACCTTCAGCATGGCCATGAGCGAGGGCCGCTGCTCACAGGCTGCGGTTTCCCTCTGATTGCCTTCCTCCAGGGCGTGCAGCTGGGAAACGGGGTTAGACCGCGTGCACGCCCATCATCTGTGTGTGTCTGGTTGAGTGCTGTTCCGCTGTTGACGTGGCTGAGCCCGTCGCAGCACACATCAGTATGTGGGAACTGATTCATGTATTCAGCCATGACTCTGCATCCTTCCTGGGGTTTGTGTGACCAACTCTAAGTGAGTTGGGGCGTGGGGGTGGGGGCGGTGACCCTGGGGCTCAGATGTGAGCAGGCAAGTTCTTGGGGAACGGGGACGCCGCTCTGAACTGGACTGAGGAAACCCCAGAATGGGTCAGCTAGTAAAGGCTAGAGGAAGTCAAACCTGGAAATCACAGCTCGTTCGACACTTCAACTACTGCAGAAGCCATTCACGAGAGTTTAGCTGGTGGGTTTGTAAAAAGCTGTGAGAGGTAGGGAGATTTTTAAAAGATGTGTAAAATCTTGCTTACATTTCAAAGCTAAAACATAAAAAGGTGTGTCTTCCCTTACCGTGATTGTGGTCTGGGGTCTCCACTGGGCCTGGAAGTGGAACGGCAGTCCCCAGAGGTCAGTGGCAGTCAAACCTTGGGGTGAGGGGTGCTCACTAGTGGAAGGCTGGGGGCTCTTTAAGGTGCCAGGATGTCCCCCTCTTGAGCCACGTGGTGGTCACGGGAGAAGGACTTGCCAAGTCTTGCAGTTAAGACCACGGGGCTTTGTGCACCTGAGGCCTCCATGAAGAATCTCAAAGCAAAGTGTGTGGAGAGAGGGGTGGTCTTGGGGTAAAATGCCCTGGTGTTTATGATTTTCCATCTTTCATGGGTGTCTGCCCCACACTGAAAAACAGCAGTAAGAAAAGTCGCACTTTGGGATCTTTCCAAAGTCACGTCCAACAACTTACTTCCATAGAAACAACAAGCTGCTCTCCTCCCGTGCTCCTCCTCCCGCGGCTGCCTTGCTGGATTGATCGTGTGGTTGCAGTGTGTTTCGGGGATCACACCACAAACGCTTGGGAAGCCTTAGACACACGCCACCCCTCCCGCACCCAGCAAGCCCCACAGGGAGCCAGAGCGTCCTGGAAGCTGGTGGCCAGGAGAGGTCAACTCCAGATTGAGGACACTGGGGGAAAACCTGCCCTCGCTGCCTTGACGAGGCCCCGCTGGCTCACCCCTGGTCCTGCTCCACTCCCCTGCGCCTTCGCGCTGTGCACAGGTCCAGGACTGAGCTGTGAGGGGCCTCGGCAGAGTCGCTGTTCTACCTGTTTATTCGCCTGTGATGCGGGAGCATGGGCACTGCCCTTCCCGCAGTGACCGCACTAGCGTTGGTAATGAGGCAGGAGAGCAGATGCCGACACTCTGGTTCCACCCGGGCGGGCTGTGTGCACCTGGTGAAATGTTACACCCAACGCTGTGACAGTACACTAACAGGTTACTGGAGAGGAGGAGGGGAGGGAGGGAGGAGAGACCTGTCCAGTGGCACCTGGCCCCTGGCCCCTGGGCCCAGCATCAGGGCCCGGCGGCTCTGTGGAGGGAGCTGGCCTGATGCAGGGAGGGGTCTGGTGCCACCTCCTGCTTCCACCACAGCCTCAGGCCATAGCCTTGTTGGAACCCGTGTTGGGCCCACACTGAGGCAAGACAAAGAGGAGAAGGAGGATCCAAGAAGGACGGAAAGACTGGGAAGAAAACGGGGGCCTTTGGGGCCCAGAGTGGGCGTTCTCCACTGGTCTGCCTCAGCGCCACCCTTCACTTTCCTAAAGAAGGACGGGCACCAAAGGTGCTCTAGTACATGCCAGGGTACTCTGGAGACTACAGAGGAGACACACCCAGGTGAAGGGTGGCCCAAGCCCCAGGAGAGAATGATCTTGGAGACCAGGCCTTGGCAGAGGTGATTAAGGCACAATTAAGTCATTAGGGTGGGCCCTAATTCTATCCGACTGGTGTCCTCTGAAGATGCCACGAGAAGACAAGACACCAGGAGAGAGACAACACAGCCGCCCTCAGGGAGCAGAGGGCCTGGGGCAGACCCTGCTCAGTCTGGGGACCTCCCAGAGGACTCCCGGATCTCAGCCTTGGGGCTGGGAGAAGACGGACTTCTGCTATGAGATCTGTTCAGTGCGCGGTCCTAGCAAACCAACAGAGCCCGCCATCAAAAAGCAGACGGCAGGGGCTGAGGATGTGGCTCAAGCGGTAGCGCGTAGTGCGCTCGCCTGGCATGCGTGCGGCCCGGGTTCGATCCTCAGCACCACATACAAACCAAGATGTTGTGTCCGCCGAGAACTAAAAAATAAATATTAAAAAAATTCTCTCTCTCTCTCTTAAAAAAGAAAAAAAAAACAGACGGCAGATACTGCGTGCAGGGGAAGTGCCCAGGGTGAAGATGGGGAGCCACGTATGTTTTGGACTCAGGCCCCTCAAGACGGGAGCTCTGAAGGTGCCCCATGGGTGGGTGTGAAGATGAGGTGGGGCCGGGAAAGGGCTGGTCAGGGCTGCTGGGCACACACTAGAGTCCTCCCCTCCTGCTACTTCTCCCTCCTGTGGACCAGGGTGGTGGGCAGGTGCCCTGGGGCCTCGGGAGACCCTCTCCAAGAACTAGAACCTCCAGGGGCCCTTGTGGCTTCCTCAGGGTGGGATTCAGCAGGTCCAGGGGCCTGGGGGTGCCGTGCCCCGAGTTCCCGGTGGACGACCCCAGCAGCAGTGCCAGGCCATGGGAGAGGGCGCTGCAGCGCGATGAGCCCGAGGAGCCCCACCCCCTCTGCCAGGCGGCAGTCTCCTCCCTGCCCTGTCTCCCCGGGCAGAGCACTAGCATGGCAAGGGCAAGGGGTGGTGGAATGCCGAGACTAGCCCGCGTCTGATGCCCTTCTGCCTCCTCTGGGACCCGCGGCAGGTGGGTCTTTGGCCTGTGTCTAGTCGCCCAGGCCCCTGAGAAAGTGGTTGTCCCCCCACTTTGTGTGGGACAGAGGCTCGGGATGGGACCTCAGAAGGAGAGCTGCTTGCATAAGCAGGATGTCATCCTGAGAGACGAACAGGTCAAGCTCCTTAGGTGACCTGCCACCAGAAAGCCAAAGAGCCGAAGTGCAAGGTCAGGTTAGCAGCCCCCGCTTCTCCCCTGGGCCCCGGGAGGTGGAGCTGGGGATGGCGCTCCGGTGCACAGTTGGGAGGAGTGGGTGCTGGTCGGTGGCTCTCAGTCCTGACCCCGGGGCTTCCCTTCAGGGAGCAACGCCGCTTTATGTCCAGGGTGCTCTCTTCTCTTGTTGTGCTGGGCAGCCTCCTTCAGGGACACTTGGGTGTTTGTCGAGGGCAAGTGGCACGCTCCCTGGGTGTCTCTGCAGATGCCATGATCGCCTGCAGGTGGGTGTGGCCAGATGGGATGTGGGGGAGGGGCCCTTTTGGTTTTGTTCTTGTTTTACTGTAACTGAATCAATTGTTAGTCAATATATGTTTTTAATTTGACATGTAAACACAACATTGGGGGGAGTGAAGCCTCTCAGCCCCGTGGCCACCCCCAGGCAGGCAGGAGGAGCAGTTCACTGGCCGCCCCGCTGTCCCCCCTCCTCCTCCTCCTCCTCCTCCTTCCCTCCCCCTCCTCCTCCTCTTCCTCCTCCTTCCCTCCTCCTCCTCCTCCTCTTCCTCCTTCCCTCCTCCTCCTCCTCCTTCTCTTCCCCTCCTCCTCCTCCTCCTCTTCTTCCTCCTTCCCTCCTCCTCCTCCTCCTTCTCTTCCCCCCTCCTCCTCCTCCTCCTCCTCCTCCTCTTCCTCCTTCCCTCCTCCTCTTCTTCCTCCTCCTCTTCCTCTTCCTCCTCTCCTCCTTCTCCCCCTCCTCCTCCTCTTCCTCCTCCTCCTCCTCTTCCTCCTCCTCCTCCTCCCCCCTCCCCCTCTTCCTCCTCCTCCTCCTCTTCTCCTCCTCCTCCTCTTCCTCCTCCTCCTCCTCTTCCTCCTCCTCCTCCTCTTCCTCCTCCTCCTCCTCTTCCTCCTCCTCCTCCTGCCCTCCTCCCCCTCTTCCTCCTCCTCCTTCTCCTCCTCCTCCTTCTTCTCCTCCCCTCCTCCTTCTCCTCCTCTTCCTCCTCCTCCCCTCCTCCCCCTCTTCCTCCTCCTCCTCTTCCTCCTCCTCCTCCTCTTCCTCCTCCTCCTCCTGCCCTCCTCCCCCTCTTCCTCCTCCTCCTTCTCCTCCTCCTCCTTCTTCTCCTCCCCTCCTCCTTCTCCTCCCCTCCTCCTTCTCCTCCTCTTCCTCCTCCTCCCCTCCTCCCCCTCTTCCTCCTCTTCCTCCTCCTCCTCTTCCTCCTCCTCCTCCTCTTCCTCCTCCTCCTCCTCTTCCTCCTTCCCTCCTCCTCCTCCTTCTTCTCCTCTCCTCCTCCTCCTCCTCTTTTTCCTCCTCCTCCTCCTCTTTTTCCTCCTCCTCCTCTTTTTCCTCCTCCTCCTCCTCTTCCTCCTCCTCCTCCTCCTCTTCCTCCTCCTCCTCCTCCCCTCCTCCTCCTCTTCCTCCTCCTCCTTCTCCTCCTCCCCTCCTCCTCCTCCTCCTCCTCCCCTCTTTCTTCTGGCTGCACTGTCCCTACACTTTTACCCTGTCCCCACCCTCCACACGTCCTGCTCACTCTTCCCCTGGGCTCTTGCACCTTAGTGCCTTCACACAGAGGTGAGCAGTGACAGGGAAAGGGACCCAAGGGGCTGGGGCAGGCTTCCTGCAGGGCCCTGGGCTGCCCAGAAGCACAGGGGTGGGAGATGGTTGGCTGGAGCTTGGTGCCAGAGGTGCCAGGAGGGCGGGTGGGTGATGAAGACAGGGCCACCAGAGCCTGCAGCAGGACGTGTGGGTTTGGGACTTGTCCATGGTGTAAGTGATGTGAGGCACTGAGCTGGGGTCAGCAAGGCGTCCAGCACTCTCAGTTCCCTTGCCTGGGCGCCCTTGACCTTAACCTGCAGGCCCAGACCTCTGGGAACTCTGCCCTGCCCTCAGTCCACCACAGCCTGCACCATCCGTCCTCCCTGGGCCTGTTCTGCCTCTGCCCCGGCGGGGCTGGCTGCTCCCTCCTGCCGACTTCTCCTGAAACCGTGGCCGCTACCTGAGCCTCACCGGTACACCTGAAGCCAGCAGGAGGCCCTGGGGAAGGGAGAGGAGACCTCTGGTTTAGGAAGGCTGTTCTGGGCCCGGCAGGGCTGTGGGCCTGGGAAGGTCTGTGCTGGCTCTGAGACACCTGGGTGACCCACGTGAGAGGTGGGACCCGCCGCCCCGTCTCCTCTGGAAGGAAGGCCCGGGCAGCCCCTGGGTAGAAGCAGCGCAGGTGGCATCCTCCCCACCCGGCAGGTGGCTGTGAGTTGCACCGAGTTCAGCCGAGGTGGGAGGGCCAGGGGCCCTACTGGACTTCCTGGAGAGGCCAGGATTCTTCCGTACAGCAGCCTCACCCAGGGAGTCGTCTTCACCCCTGCGTATTCTTCCACAGATGTCTGGAAACCAAATGGGAAGACCTGTGACCTCTGAGCCCACTGCTGGTCTTATCTTTCTACTGTGAAACAGCAGCAGCTGCCACCAGCAGGACCTCTGGGTGACCTCTGACTAGTTTCTAGGGAGACAGGCGGCTGGGGGACACTTTCCTCCCCCAGCCTTCCTTTTCCTCGCCCCCGTGTGGCTCCTTTGCCTGGGGGAGCCAGGGACCCAAGCAGCTGCCCCTCCTGGTCCACTTCCCTGCGAGTCCTCAGCCCTGGCTCTCAGCCGACTCACTCGTGGATGAGGTGGAGCACAGCAGACGTTCAAGACGTGTGTACCCCGTGGTGGCTCCTGCAGGCAGGGCCCGGGGAGGCCAGCACAGGGTCCTCTCCTGACCGGAGATCTCCGGAAGCCGTGATCTTTGTGTTCTTCTTTGTTCTCAGCTCCTAACACAAGCTGGCCTGGTGGGGGGCACCCTCCAGCTGCACGCGGCCCACTTTGACTGGGCTCTCACAGAACCTCACGGTGTGAACCTGGAAAGTCAGGTTGGTGCTCAGTGTGTGGGAGGTCCTAGGCTTTTTCCCCCAGAATGACTAATAAGTAAATAAATAGATACATACACGAGTACCTACCTACATACATATATACATGTGTACATACCTACCTACATACGTGAGTATATACCTACCTACATACGTACATGAGTACATACCTACCTACATACGTACATGAGTACATACCTACCTACATACATACATGAGTGCTAAGAGCCATGGCCGAGTAGGAATGACGCATGGCATTCTTGGTTGAAAGGTGACGCCAGCAAGCCATTGAGATGATAATGATTATGTTAAGATGTGCATTCAATTGGATATTAGACCCCTGCTGTCCGCCTTGGCCTGCTATTTTGGAGATCTCTTTGGGACTTCCGGAGAATTCCCATTGGTTGGGGAAGTGCGGTAGGAGGGATTTCGGGTTGGTGTGGTGTGTGTCCTGGGAGAAGGCCGCCAGCATGGCACTCGCGGGAGTTTTGGAAATAAAGTTTATTCCTGCTTGAGTGGCTCATGATTTTGTGCCCAGCCAGACTGCGTCACATGAGTACAGACCTACCTACATACATACATGAGTACATACCTACCTACATACATACATACATGTGTACAGACCTACCTACATACATACATACATGAGTACCTACCTACATACATGCATGTGTACATACCTACTTACATACATACATGAGTACAAACCTACATACATACATACATACATATGTATCTACCTACCTACATACATACATGTGTACAAACTTACCTACATACATACATGTGTACATACCTACCTACATACATACATGTGTACATATCTACATACATACATACACACACGAGTACATACCTACCTACCTACATACGTACACGAGTACCTACCTACCTACATACATGTGTACATATCTACATACATACATACATGAGTACCTACCTACATACATACATGTGTACACACTTACCTACATACATACATGTGTACATACCTACATACATGAGTACCTACATACATACATAAACTCAGATGGATAAGTTGGGTCCAGTTTAAATGTCTCCTGGAGCCAAGTGGGGGCAGCTCTCAGGCTGGGCTGTCTGCGTAAGGCCCGTGGCACTGGCCATGTCCTGAGCCCTAGGGTCTTGCCCCAGCTAACTCCAGTCAGGGGCTGTTCCACAGGAGCCTGAAGCTGCCCTCAGCCAGACAGATGTCCCCTGAGCCATCTGAAGAGGGGGCAGATGGTGGTGATACTGGCCCCACCTCTGGGGAAAGCACCTCTTTCCTGCCTCCCAAAGAACACGATTTGGGAGACTGGGCTTGCTAATGAGGGCGTGA